AAATTTAAAAAAAAAGTTGAAAATTGAAGAAACTGGCAGCTGATGAAGTGGGTGGTCTCAAAAAATTGGCACCTCAATCTTGACTTGATTTCAGCCCTCCTAGCCATCGAAAATGCAAAAAATAAAAAGATTATTAATCTACAATGATGTCGCAATCGCTCGAACTAGCGGTGAGAAAAAATGTTTTTTTACAAATTGGCGACTGTTTGAAAAAAAGTGTTTTTTACTGTTTTTTTGAGTTTCTCGAATTTTTTAAAAATAGTAAAATTTAGAATTTCGGGATAATCCTAGTTCGGGCTATAGATAGGTCTATAAACAAGACTCTCTGAATATTTCAAGTGAATCGGTCGATTAAAACTCGAGAAATCGTGTCAACAGTACTGAAAAAGTCTGTTCTGAGAAAATCGCATTTAAAGTTTTGCGTGAAGCCAAACCAGTATGGAGACCGAGTCAGTAAAATGCCTATATCTCTGAAAATAATTCAAATTTTCAAAAACCTTCTCGTACCCATATTCTTAGATAGTTAAACTTTGAAAATATGAAATAAAAAAAAAATGATTTTTTTGAATTTCTACACTTGAATACCCTCTTAAGCTGAGTCAAGAAAATATTTTGGAAAAGAAAATTCCACCGTAATATTTTTTTAGAATATTTCTTCTTTATGATTTTTTTCTAAGTCTCTGTTAATTATATTACCCATTAGGGTCAATTAAACCCTCGGTTAACCCTTTTGCAAAATATCAATTTACTTTCTTCAACGAATAAATTAAGTCCACCACTTCATAAGATAATTTCATGACAAATTTTCTAACATTATTCTTAATGTACACCCTCTGAAGTTAATAGGGGAAACCGGGATAAAGAAACAGAAATTATAAAAAAACTTGAACCAGCTGTTAATTCTTGATGAAGTGAATAACTAGTGGTGTATGGCATCGTGCCTTAAAGCAAATTGCTGGAACTTCCCGTACCGTAATGAAATATTCGAGAAATTTTTAACGTTTTAAAACATATTATTACAAATAGTGTAACTTTCATTATTTTTGCTATCTTGTTATATCTGAGCAAGTCAAATGTAATTCATATTTATAAATCAATTTATCCCCAGAACATTAACAATCGTCATTTTATTTTGAATTCAATTTCAAAAAAATAGTCTAATAGCCCAACTTTACACAAAATTGAGAAAGTGCTCCCGTATAGTTACAGTCTAAACGCATTTACAAATAATTATGTACGACATTTTCACTTATACTGTGCTTTGCTTGGCGGCATTTTCATATTTTTCAATAGTTTTTCACAAAATTAGAAAAGTGCTGCAACATAAACAGTCTAAACGCACATGGGTAAACATTTGTACCAGAGTGGCGCTTAGACTCTGCTTAGCCTGGGCATTTTTTTTAAATTTAATCCAAAATTACAAAAATATTATTTTCGCTATACAATGTTAAATCGTCTAAAAAATCGTCTTTTGGCGAGCTTCCAAAACCCAAAAGGGACTCTACCTACGAGCAAATTAGAATAATCAGTAAAACAAACTCTGATGACGAGCAAAATCAATTTTTTTGAGAGGACAAAAGGGACTCTACTGATAAACAAACTAAAAACAAAGGAACTCTTGGAACTTCAATCTTGTAGAGACTTTACTGAAGCACAAATTAAAATGGAATGAAAAAGGGACTCTACTGACGAGCAAAATAGAATATAAGAAGAAATTACACAAAATTGAAAAAGTGCTCCCGTATAGTCACAGTCTAAACGCATTTGCAAATAATTCAGTGCGACATTTTCACTTATACTGTGCTTAGCTTGGCGGCATTTTCACATTTACGAAATTTTGCAGTCGTAAATCTTCTGTACGTATGTATGTCACTCAACCACTCTTAAACGGTTATTCAGATTTTGATGAATCATTTCAGAGTTTGTCAAGAAAAAAATAGGTATGGTGATGAACCAAAACAATAACTCAATAGTATTAAAATAAGTACAGAAACTGCAAAAACAAATTATCCTCGAAAAACTAGAAAAATAATATTAAGTGACAATAACAAACTTTGATTCAAGAATAAGTCAAAACTGTCTTTTCAGCTCCTTTATCCTTTTCCTCCATTTAAAATAATCCGAGACGATTAAACGTAACGACTCCTCCATTTGGCGTTATTATCACTAAATCTTATCCTGCCACCGATATTACGATAATTGTTATAATAATAATAAAAATTATTATTATTTTATTGTTAAAATAACTGCCGACGCTAAAATCAAGAGAAATATGATATTTTAATACCACTCGTAAAATTTATCAAGTTTAGAGCTTTGATATACAGAAGTCGATAGATAAGGTGGAGAGATGCATTTTGATTCAGGTAACAGTAGTTGACGATTATAATCGTCATAAAGATTCAAATTCAGCATCAACATATTCTAATTAATAGAAAAATTTAAAGACTATTTAGTTGGTTTCAAAAATTGCAAATTAAATAGTTAATGGTCACTGACGAGTATATATACAATTCACTATTAACTTCCTGTAGGGTAGTTATAGTAATGGGCCGAAAATCTAAAATGAAAATTTTTGCATTTCTCGACGTTTCGAAGGTTTCTGAACATTTTACTGTCATACCTCAGAAAACTAATGGATGAGTGTGTGTGCGGATACAAATGTTTCTGTCGACGATTTCGAGCGCACGGATCAACCGATTTGAATAATTCATTTACCATTCGATTCCTATTGATAGGGAGATGTGCTGATTAGCTTTTGGCAAAGGGAGGTCCAGTCGTTACGGAGATACGGAGCAAAGAGTGAGAGAACGGAGTATCGGATTTATATGATCCAAAAAACATTCAGTTCGTAATGATTGGGAGAACAGGTGTATAGTTTTTAGCAAAGGCAGGTCCCGCCATTTTGAAGATACAGAGCTAAATGTGCAAAAAATGGCAGTTTTTTAGAGAACTAAGCGTCCGATTTAAATGATTCAAAGAAATTTCTGCTTGTATTGACAAAACAATTGCTTTTGAGGATAAAAAATTATTACATATTTTTTTATTTTCCATAAAATATTTTTGTAATTTTGGATTAAAAATTAAAGAAATTACCCAGGCTAAGCACAGTCTAAGCGTCACTCTGGTACAAATGTTTTACCCAAGTGCGTTTAGACTGTTTATACACAGGAGCACTTTTCCAATTCGAATTTTGTGAAAACTATTGAAAAATGTGAAAATGCCGCCAAGCTAAGCACAGTATAAGTGAAAATGTCGCACAGAATTATTTGCAAATGCGTTTAGATTGTGACTATGCGGGAGCACTTTTTCAATTTTGTGTAAATTAGGCAACTATTTTTTTTAGATTGAATTCGAAAAAAAATGACGATTGTTGTTCTGGAGACAAATTGATTTAATTATGATTTACATTTGATTTGCTTAGATAAAGAACAATAAGATAGCAAAAATAATGAAAGTTACACTATTTGTAATAATATATTTAAAATTTCTCGAATTTTTCATTACGGTACGGGAAGTTCCAGCAATTTGCCTTGAGGCAAGATGCCATACACCACTAGTTTTCAGTTTAAGTGTTTAAGCGGTTCTAATCAGATATATGCCGAGCAAAGTATATTTTTCGTGTTTTGTAGAGTTAGTCCACACATAAATAAAATACATTTTTAGATCACGAAATGAACAAATTAATTTAATTTATACAATTGCAGATATTATAAGTATGTTGAAAAGACATAAATTGGAAATAGCTTCTATTCATTTTTAGTGAAAGCGAAAATTGTATTTTCGAAATTAACAGTTGAACGTTTTACCTAAATAGTTGAATTATTTTTTATTGATTAAGTTGAGTTATGTATACGTTCATTCGACGTGCCTTAAAAGGCCAACTGAAAAGATCTTGAAATCACTTGTAGAAGGAATTTAAAATACTGAGATATTGTTTCAGCATCAAATATAGTATTTAGGTTTTAGTATAATTTGCTGCAATTTTTTACAAACATAAAATTATTGTTTTTTTTTTTCCTATTACGGATGTGTATAAAGGTGTTGTAAACGTTTTGAACCTTTGAACGAAAAGTGTCGATGTATTCAATTTGTAGTTCATATTTACAAGCTATCAATATAATTCTGCCTTTGCCATGACGTTTTTTAGATTGATAATACGGAGTCTTAATAAATGTAGAGCGCATCTTCCTCAAATTATGATTTTTTTTATATTCTGTGTTGAGTTACTTCTGTGTGATCTGACTGGAGCAGTGAATATGTGAGAATGCAACGGATATTGCGTTACGCCCGAACTGTACGTCATTCACTCTCGATGAAATCATTTCAATACAGGTCGATTGTGATTAGTCGTCATGTATGTGAATAGAGATCTGTCGTCGTATGCGTACCGAAATCAACGTTGTATGCGTCATTTTATGCTTATTTATTTATGGTATGCGTACCGATATCAACAACAAGGAAATTGGCATAGTTAAATAAATATTTTAAGGTTGCATCGTAGTACAAATCTTGATTCGATAAAAAATTCCTGAATCAGAAGAAAATTTTGTCCTGTTTCCCATAAATAATTATAATAAAAATAATAAAATTAATAGAACATTTGTTCCGTGTACTAAACGTAAGTTTATTGAAATAATTTCTATATTATTCATAGCTTCTATAAATCTTTGAAGTTATTAAAATGAAAGACACAAGATTTTATAGCTGCTCAAAGAATGAGATTAAATCGGCAGCGAAAAAATAAAACAAATTACAACCAGTTAATGAATGTATATTAATTTTAATTACATGAAGTTTTTCAAACACAATTATTACATGATGAGTGAAATTGTGAAAACAATATTTCTTTAGGTTTTGTTTTACATAATCCATTGTATGAACGAATATTATAGAATTTATTAATCAGCAATTACTTCATTTCTCTAACGAAGTCCCAAGTCCTAAATGCTAATTACAATGACAAACCGATCATTTCACAAAATTTAATGATGTTTCAGATTGGGACTCAATGATCTTCCGCAATCAGTGGCTTTTTTCTCATCTGTCGAAGTCGACAAAGTTCTCCGCAAGGAAGCTACAGCTGATTGTGTGACTCCTTCCAATCCTCGGGGATTGCAAGCAGCCTATGGAATTTCTCCTGGCGAATCATTGGATATAATATCTGCACTTAAAAAGGCTGAAGAAGAGAAATTGAAAAAGTCTAAAAATGCATCTACTGCAATTGAGAATAAAATTACTAAAAAAGCGTTAAACAAAAATAGAAGAATTATTGTAATAAATAAACAAAAGATATAAAGACTTTTAGACTGTTTATTATTCTGGTTATGAAAGTCTTTCTGAATCAGCTGGAGGATTACAAGTGCACTTATAAATGATTTTTTTTTAAATTTTGACTATTTATTATTTTTGATCTATACGTAATGAGATCTATACATAATCAAACAATGTTTGAAAAGGAAATGAAAAGATATTTCATATATGGTATATATAAATATATATATATATATATACATATATATATATATATATCTATATATATACATTTGAAATAATTTGCAGTCAACTCGATAAATTAAAAAATGGCTAGAAGGAAAACATTTTTATTCATTACACATTTCAACACTTGATGTGTGTCATCATTCAGCCTATCAAACTAGGCCAAAAACAAAAACTTACAGCACTAATAATAGCTTGAAAAATTTTAAACTTAACAAAAAGCAATACATGCTTAACTAATATTTTTAATAAAAAACTTAATGAACGAACTGAAGTTGAATTCGGTTTTAATGGTTAACGGATAAGCATTCTCGTATTGTCTGTGGGGCAATATGTCCTCATATATATATATATATATATATATATATATATATATATATATAATATATATATATATATATATATATTAAATTTATCTATATAAAACTTAAATTGTATTTAGTAGAGTGGATATTGAATTATTATAACAATGCAGGATGACTTAATGTTTGGTTTCCTCTAATTTGACTACAGAATTTCAAATGTCGCGAGCTACAAGACGAAAGCATGTCCAAAATGAAGCTTTGGAAATAGACTGGGAACCTCCAAAAGAAGATCAATCCATTGTTAAAATTGTTGGAAGCAAAGGAAATAATTTGCACGAGGTGAGATTCATATACCTTTTTGAACTCAGTTAGGAGATAATTGTATGTAAAATGTTTTTATGTATATTTATCACTTCACTCAATAAGTCCGTAGGATTACTAACAAAAACTCATTTTTTTGGTAAATTTTTTTATTCAATATAATTTTCTTCAAATACGATATACCAATTATAACAAACTTCGCACTTTTTGACACCATTTTTGTAGTACGATTTGTACTTAGCCACAATATTAGGCCATCATCTCATCATTTGGCACATATTTTTTAAGAGGTATCCTTTTAAGATCTGAGAACAGGATATGGTCGCTGGGGAACAGATCTAGAGAATATAGTGAGTGGGGAAGCAATTTGGAGCCTAGTTCACGTTTTTTTGGCCATTATTTTCACGGATTTGTGACTTGGTGCGTTGTCCTGATAGAGCAGCACGGTTTTCTTTTTCGAATGGGGCCGTTTTTACGGTTCTGATCTTCAAATGTTCCAATAACGTTATACAATAGTCATTGTTGATGATCTGGCTTTTTTCAAGATAAATATCATTTTTTGCGTATCACAAAAAAACTGACGCCATGATCTTTTGCATTTTTTCTCCCCATTGTGTCCAGTTCACTCGGCAGTCTGTCTCTTCGACTCCGGAGTGTAGTGTTGAAGCCAGGTCATATCCATGGTGACATATTGATGCAAAAAACTCAGTTTTATTTTGGTTGAACAGCTCCAAATACTTTTACGAATCACCAACTCGTTGTGCTTTTGGTCAAATGTGAGTTTGCGCGGCACCCATTTAGCACAAAGGTTTTTCCTATTCAAATATTCGTGAACGATATGTCCTTCAAGTTCTATTGATATCTGTAGGGTGTTAGCTATCTCAGGCGATTTTCCAAAACGTTTCGGTGGACTTTTTTATATTGTCCGGTGTAACCACCTCAGTTGGCCTTCCAGAGCGTTCAGCATAGTCAGTGTCTGTACGGCCACGATTAATATCAGCAAACCACTTTTTCACCATCTACCGCGATTTAGAACAGTCCAGATAACACTTATCAAGCGATACTTTGGCAGCAATGGTATTTTTACCCATCAAATATCAATAATAAATCAACTCACGAAATTTCTTTGAATTCATGGTTTCGAAAAACTCAAAAGTAGCGTCACTTGAACCTCTATAACTTGTAAACTAATCGTCGGATTGTCATGAAATTTTGACATATATCTTCTTAAAGTTGTTGCTTCCTACACATCATATGGATGATTACATAGCTACATTATCTATGTATTATCTTACGGACTTATTGAGTGACGTTATATTTATGTGACGGATACAATATTATTGTTGCTGCAGCACTCTTTTAATGCCTCTTTCTGCGATATATTCAGCTGTATCTTTGTTCTGGTTTTGAGTAATTATTTAACACGTTAATCGCCACGTCAGTCATATTTGTCTCAGACTAAGAAGTTCTACATGAGCTATGTTAGACATATATGTCTAACATACGCGATTTAGTAAAAGGCACGCCAATCACAGATGACCGACGCAAACGTTATATTTGCAGAATGTTTCGAAAACTTGGCATATCAGGAGCAAAAACTAAGAATTTTGTTTGTCAAATGCGTCAGACATATAAAACTGACACGGCTTATCGAGAAAAGAAAGTTTTAATATAGGGCCGTGTCAGTCATATATGTATGACGTAAAAAATAGTAATACAGGGCCCGGCACTCGAAGTGTAACCAGTTGAAAAAGCCATAAATTCAGTTTGGAAAATTACTTTTACTCGATTAAAAGTACAAAATGTGTAAAAATAATACAACATTTAAAAACAATTCACTTTTGCTCGATATGACCACCTTTTGCTTTGACTATGGCCTTTAGACGGTCCAAAAACAAATCGCATATCGCTATCGACCCTGTAGTTTTCCATAAATTTTTGAATTTTTTTTTTTTAATTCGGTAATTTTTTTCTGATATCGTGGCGATTAACGTGTTAAAGTACTTGGAAAAAAATAAATATATACAGTTCACGAGAGTTTCTAAATATGTTCTAAGAAAGTTTATTCACAATAAGTACTTAGTAAGATAAAGAAAGAAGCTTGTCTTTCAAATATGTACTAATTTTTGGTTCGGTAGTGGAATATTTTATTCTTTAGTCTTTCCGTCGTTATTAGTTTATAAAATCTGATTTTATTCAAATAAATATACTGCTTAATACTTACTCAAAATATTCAGCAAACTTAACAAAATTTTTGCAGGTGGAGAATATTGAAGGTTTGCTGTATTTAGCGTCCATGCCTACTAAATTTCGAAAAAATGTTTGGATTAAAAGAGGAGACTACGTTATTGTTGAACCTATAGCTGAAGGAAATCGTGTCAAGGCGGAAATTGTGCGAGTTTTAACAAATGATCACAAGAAAGAATTCAAGAGGCTCGGTGTTTGGCCCTGGCCTGAAGAAGAAAGTAACGATTCGTCATTCAAGGAAGATGAATATGGAATTATTCCTAACACGAATCGGAAGCAGCAATATGTAGAAGAATCTTCTGATGATGAATGCTCGGAATCTGAAGAAGAAGCAGAAAAATGAGGTAAAGAATCATCAAGTTGTCATGGCGAATGATAAACTGAAAATGCTAAACTGAATACTGGTATTTCTTTAAATTGATTATAAATATGTAAATTATTTTGTATAACTATTTTTTTAATATAAGTTAAAAAATAATACCACTGGTTTAATTCCATTATTCAGTTTAATTTAATATTCATTAATCCCATAAATAATTGCGTATTTAATAACGCTTTATTGCAATCAGCAACTGTAATAGCTTAAACTTTATCGAAGAAATTTAAGCAATTTTTTTTCTTTAAAAACCAAAAGGTTTTTTAAGCTCTATTTACAAATTGTCTTCTAGCGAGCATTTAGACAGAGCTTTCGGTCTCAACATTGGTTTGGTCAATTTTTAAAATGATCTTCAAAACTATATAGTATTTATATTATATATAAAATATTATAATATCCGTATCGAGATATCGTTTTGAAATGAATTACTTTTTTTGTATTTTTTGGAATCATCATATGATTTTTTATTTAATTTACTTAATGTTTTATAGTCATGACTGGACTATAGCTTAAAAGAGGTAAAAATCTCGAAATTCGAGATACCCAGCTGTAAGTCTGTAAATACTTGTATTTTGCACCCTAAAAATTGTCTCAAAACCTACATATATTGCGTACACCCTACCATATGTAGGTTTTGAGACAACTTTTAGGGTGCAAAATACAAGTATTTTAGACTTACAGTTGGGTATCTCAAATTCTGAAGTGAACTTACTATAATGACTGGATTATTATATGAGCTTTGCACGAAGAAATATTCTCTAAATCTCTTTTATCTCTAATGATATTTATTATACAAATACAAAATTGGTGCTGGAATATTATCTTCATCATTTATCTTTTGTTCATGTTTCCAAAATTATGTTCCAAAATTAAGTATAAAAAATCGTTTTTATCTAATGAATATTATTTTGGCTGAACTGGAGGGTACATACTGATTAGTTGGATTTAAAAGTTTTTTTTAAATTTTTTTACAAATTGAGTAAAACACTGATTATAAAATTTTATTTATATTTTTTATATAAATATTTCTAAACAAATTTGTCATGTCAACAATATTAAAACTTGAACCGATCACGATATGTATATAAAGGAATGTATTTAACCAATAACAATTTACTAAGAAACAGTCAATAATTTATAATTAATCAATCTCTAAACGTTGAAATTGTGCTTCGGGTGTGACTTGTTTTTTCTTGCCATTTGCTTGAAGTACATTAGATCTTTGCTGTTCTTCAGCCTGGAAGAATATAATAAATTCGGTTTAATTAGAAAACTATTTATATTTTTTGTAAAAAAGACCAAATTATATTAACAATTATATATTATTTTTAGATAAAACCCGGACATTTTTAAATAATTCTTACAAATTACAGTAACTTTGCACTACACTATTTTTTAAGTAAATCTACAATATCTTCTCTCATAATATAATTCTAACAATAATAGCAATACATGGTGAAATTGACCTTTATCAAAACTTTGATTTTTTTATACTTTGAAATATTTTGGAAATCTTCAACTTTTTTCAAAGCAATTGCGATACGTAGCTGCGTAGAAACAAAATATAGAAGCGCGTGGGCGCCGCGTCAAGGCGTATCGAATAAACATTGGTACGGAACCCATATAAAAGTGAACAAAATTTGTTCTTATTACTGAAATATCTATAAAACTTGTGATAATTTGATGTGCATATATCTAGTGATCATTTTTTTCGCCAAATGGCATTTTATTCAATTACCTGCCCAAAAATTTCTTCAGTTTTTCATTTCGTCAATACAAATAAAATGATTTTGGAATCATTCAAATCGGACGCTCGGTTCTCTAAAACTAATCAGCACGTCTCCGTATTAATAGGAATCGAATGTTTTTTGAATTATTCAATTTGGTTGATCCGTGTTCTCGAAATCGTCGACGAAAAATTGTATCCGCACATACACACGCGCACACACACACATCCATTTTTTCTAAGGTATGCCAAAATATTTAAAAGACTTTGAAACGTAATGATATATAGATTAATACGATTTTAATATTTAGTATGATTTAAATTAAATAGGATTTGTTAATGGGTTTAATAAATACCTACTTAATGCTAATATATGTCTGCCTATTAATATGCACTGATTTTCGAAGTTGTTTATATATTTTTATAATATTTATTTCAATTTATTTCAATATCAATATTTGCAACAAAAAAATAAATTTTATTGTGCATCTATTAAATATAGATAGCAAAACATTTACTTGAAAATTAAATGTATTGAATGTCTTGAATGACTTTTGATTGAATTATTTGAAAGGAGGGAACCAATAAATTTTGCATATGAGTACGGAAACGGAGAGTAAATTCCGATTAGATTTACTGATAATTATTAAATATTAATCAATTAAATAATTGAATATTGATTTACCACAAAATACGAGGCGTGGGCTTGCAGCTTATCACAAAATTCTTGGTGCAATGTTCTGCAATCTGCTAAATCGCCACCAAAATCTGATGGTAATACCGACCGGGGTAGAACTTCTTCATAAAATTTTTGCATATCTATATTTCCGGTATGGATATGTAACTGAAATTATTATTATTGTTAACTCACTAATTTATGTTTAAATATTTCTATTTAACTTGATAAGAAATTACACCAAATTTACCAATAACCGTTAATTAAAATTATAATTAATAAAAAATATGAATGTTATTTTTTACCATGTTCATAAGTTCCTTTTTCATGAATGGTTTTATCAAAAGAAGAATTTTGTCGAAAAACGGTACGACGTTCACTACGTGAATGGCCTAAAATTAAACAATATTTAGTTAATAAAATAATAATTAAAATATAACAAATGTTAAATTAATAATTAATAATGTTTCAATAATATAAAACTTCTTTTTCACAAAATACATTTATAGATAATAATATAATTGATTATGAATGTAATAACATTAAGTAATATAAATACAATAATGATTATAAATATATTTTCCGATAAATTTAAACCTCTAATCACCTTTAATTTAGCCGGAAGTGCCTCTTGCAAGTATTTAAAAAACTTCCTCGTCCCTGCAACTCGAAGTCTGGTCAAATGCCCCAAAGAAACGCCTTTCATATCGAATAAAAATACCAAACCTGGTCTTGGTCCTCGAGTATATAAACACATGTCTGTAATAAAAATTAAAATAATTTTTCAAAAAATTGAACTTTTTGGAACTCCGTTTACTTGTCTGTCAGTAGAGTCTTTTTTCATTTTATGTGAATTAAGTTTGCTCGTCAGTAGAGTCTGTTTTTCCTTTTCGTGAAGTTTGTTTTTTGTCGGTTGTGCTAGAATCGGGTCTTTCTCGTCTCTTAGAGTCCATGTTTCTGATCCATGCTCCAAAAAGTAGTAAATGTAGCAGTTTTATAAAAAAAAATCTGTTTCTTACTTTTCATGTCGTTATTTATTGCGTCGGTAGTGTTTCTTTACTCAGAATCAGAGTCTATGTCTCTGATCATTATATCCGTGATTTACATACTTTTTTTTCAATTTTGTTGTCAAAATACGATTCGAGATAACATAAAAAAAATCTAAGTCATTTTTCAAAAAATTGATACAAAGTATAAAAATCTTCATTATTTACCTATGGTCATAAAAAACGTTCTTATCGCCTGGTCGTAATTATAAGCGGATGGTGCAGTTTGGAAAAGTCTATGAAATATGACATCATGACCATCAGCAGTTGGTGGCAAAAGAATGTATTCTCTGAAATTAGATCATTGTAATTTTAATATATATTCTATTATTATTGACACATAAATTATATACGAAACATTCAAAACAATGAGTTTCAATACTGGAAAAATTATTTGTGCTCAGTACAATGTCGTTGTTTAAGCCGGTCTTCAATAAAAACTAAATACGTATAATTGTGTGATATAAAAATTAAAATAAGGGGTAATTAACAATTACTTACTGTGCTTGAAGACATTGTAAGATCTCATCTGATCTCGGGTCTCTGTTGTTGAAATGTTCAGGAGCATTTCTTCGAGCGTCATAATAAGCTTCTAGACATTGGCGGGCTTGTGGTACATCTCCACAAGCATTTAGAAATAACAGCAACTAAAAATACAAGATAGAAAATAATAAAAAAAAACTTTTAATAATTGAATTAAATTTTGAATAAAATTTTGAAGTAGAAGTCTTGATCTCTATAATATTATGATACGAGCTTCCTAATACAAAAGATTATATAAAAGCTTGGATTTAGACTTTTAATTACTACATTTTATTTGTCTTTGAGTTTATCTCACTGTTCTTGAGATAATAATATGCACGAAAGTAGACAGATTTTTGTCTCAAAGTTATTCTAACAAGTGACAACAAGTGAATGATGGGCATTTTCAGGGAAATTTCTACTACTTAAGTAGTCAAACTGCACGGTTCATCTTACAATAATTGCATTCAAATATTTCACTCAAAACTTAGCAGATAAGAGCAAAATTTTTCATCATATTTTCGACAAAAATTTTGAATGCATCTTGAAAATTCAAAAACTTTTAGAAATTTTGCAATTGAAAATCGTGCTAATTGGTAAAGATTGGCCAGGCCGCATCAACTGTTGAATTTTTTAAATTGAAACTTTGCCTAGACCTTCGCTATTAACTGTTATTGAAATCCTTTTTATTGATTTTAATGAAACTTTGCTTAATAATGAATGAAATTTATTGTCTTAGCGAGCATCCCAAAATATTATAAGCGAAGTGGTTTAATTATAAAATTTTATTAACGTTTGGAATAGTAAGTCGCGTTCTTAAGTTATACACCATATGTATTGGGTTGTTCGGAAAGTAACTTAGTTTCTTATAGATATTTTGGCACTCAATTTTCGTACAATCAACAATTACTTTAATGAATTATGTATTAGCAGTTTTGACTGAACATCTTTTGTCATATTTCTGGTATTAACACAATTTCGAGAACATAAATTCTTTACTCGTTATTGGCTAAAAACTGATCAAAGTGCTTTTTGACATGCCGATTTGAGGTAATAGTTTTCTAAAATTTTTTTCAGAGGCCGTAACAAATAATGATCCAATGATGGCAGGTCTGAAGATTATGATGAATATGCCATTGGGTCCCATCCAAGCTACAAAAACTTTTGACGATTGACCAAACTTATGTGAGGTCTTGCGACGTTTTGTTGCAGAAATATACCTTGCTTTTGGGTTAATTCTGACCTTTTCTATTGAAGTATATCATTCCAGCTGATGACATAAGGCATTCGAATTAACCGTTACGTTATCCTGAAAAAGCTGAAAAATGAACAACTTCAAAATCTTACCAAACATAATGCATCACCCTTTTCTGGCAAATTTCAGCTTTGCACCTGTTTTGAGCAGGTTCTTCTTTTTTGTTTCAAGGGCAATTGCGTGTATCGTATTTTTTACATCCCATTTGACATTCCTAGTGACAATTTCGCTTCAAAACCTGATAATTTTCAGGACTTTTCAAATGTGAATCGCGGGCACCAGTGCGACGACACAGGTTTCTTTCTATGAGAACCATACATTGAGTTTGGAGGAAAATCCCAGACCTTTTGAGTGTTCATAAACTGTTAAATTTGATAAATTTCAACTTAATGGGATCTAATGTATTGTTATTCGCTGGTTTGCATCAACTAACACCTTTCTTGCGTCTTTATCGGCTTCAACTTGGTGCATCTTGGACATCAAATTCACCAGGAATGAAATTTAGCAAACCAATTTTGGCACTGCAGTATTATCAACACATCATTTCCGTACATATCGGTCAATTTCATTTTGACTTTAGCCGTATTTTTACCTTTTATATAGCAAAAGAGTAAAATATGTCGCAAATGCTGCTTAATTATTTCCGTACTCAAAGTGGCACCATCCAAAACTACTGCATGTAATTGATTAGAATTTTTACGCACAGGCCTTAAGTTAAGTTATAAGTTTTCAAATTATATATTAATTATAGAGCTTAAGTGTAAAATTAGGTTCAAAAAAATAGTTATTTCTGGTGGTAAAAAAACGAAGTGACTTTCCAAACAACCTTTTATATTATGTGAATCGTTGATGTCCGCACTTAAATAAAATATATTTAGAATACAGTGTAATATAAATTAACTAGAAATTACAGTTATTATATTTTAAATTCACTTAATATATTTGTCACAAAATTTATAAGCCATCAGTTGGCAATTGGGTTGATTAGTTTTTGGTGAAGATTAAATGTCTTAGCAAACATCTTAAGAAAACATATTGATTCGTCATTAGTGATAGTGAATACTATATTTTTGCAATGAATAATTGTAAAAATGATCTAATTAGCTAAATCTGATTTCTTAAGTCGATTATTTATATAGATCGCGAAAAGTTTTTGCAATTTATGCATTATGTGCCATTTGCTCCTAGTTTGCATTTACGTAACCATGATACAAACAATTTTTATTAGAACTTGTATTAAAAACTACAATAAATTTAAAGCAGCATTCGTGTGATGAAAAGTATATTACTTAAATCAGGTCAACTGAACAGCATAATAAAACAAAGGTTGATCTGTGTCGAGGTCGTCTGGACTAGTTTAGTGTATAGTGTAAATTCATAAATTACATATGCAAATGTATAGATCAAATAATAAAATACTACAAGTAATTTAATAAATTCGCGATAATTTAATAAATTCTTTTAAAACAACCTTTAGCCTAGCCAAAGGCTCATCGTGCTTTGAGAACTAATAGAGAAAAATCGTAGCATTGCAAATAATTCTTACTTTACTATTAACATATGAAATCATTTTTTACCTTCCCGTAGGGCAAGTTATAGTAATCGCAAAAAAATCGAAAATGAAATTTTTTGTATATCTTTACGTTTCAGAGGTTTGTGAACATGTTGGCATACCTTAAAAAAATGGATGTATGTGTGTGTGTTTGTCTGTGTGTGCGGATACAAATTTTCGTCGACGATTTTGGGAACACCCATCAACCGATTTGAATAATTCAAAAAACAATCGATTCGAATTAATAAGGAGACGTGCTGATTAGTTTTTGGCAAAGGCAGGTCTAGCCGTTCCGAAGATACGGGGCAAAAAGTGCCAAAAACGGTAACTCAGTTTTTAAGAGGACGGAGCGTCCGATTTTAATAATTCAAAAAACATTTTTACTTGTATTGACAAGATGAAGAATTGATTAAATTTTTGGTCAGGCAGGTCCAGCGGTTATAGACTCTCAATAAAAATACGTTAAAAAAATGTCATTTGGCGGCTATAAATGTTTATAGGGCATATGTACATCAAATTATCAGATATTTTTTAGAGACTTTAATAATGTGTACACATTTTGTGTAAATTTTTTTGGGTTCCGCACCAAGATTTTTAATTACAGTACGGGAAGTTCCAGCAATTTGCATTAAGGCACGATGCCATGCACCCCACTAGTTATTTTTAGCGTATCTTTATATCTAATTTGAGCATACACATTTATTAGTGCAACTATAAACTATAGTATAATTATAAAAGCATTTCGTATATTTCAAAATTAAAATAACAAATAAGTCGTTCTGTGGAAAATTTAATAATAAAATATATTTCATACTGCATAAAAATATATTCTTGGTTTAAATTGAAATATACAAATATTTGTATACTCGTATTGGAATTTGAATAATAGACATACTTAGACTCTAAACATATAAGTAAATAAATGTCTAACAAGTATGTGTGATAAAACGGTTAAGCAAAATAAATGAGCCATGTTTTATAGTAAATTTCATTCCGACTTTATTTAATATTTTTTTATTTATCCTCGTTTATTATTTATTTTAGAAATTGAATTTGCTGTATGAACAGTTCTTGTACTTATAGAAGATAATTTTGTAAATATTTCACTATAAACCCATAATTTTATAAAATAAATTTTATCAATAAATTTACATGAAGAAGTATATAAATTCTCGAATTTCTTGATAAGTTTAGTTAAAAGTTTCTTGACAATCAAATATTATTATGCAAATAATATAAATAATTAAGTTTGCAATTAACTATGTTTTTCGCAAAATCTTGCAATTAGTAACAATTAATACAGGTCTGGAAAATAAGATAATAAACATCATCTTTTAAAGGAATAATACAAAGTATTATAATTCGTTGTCTAGTCATTTTGTTGGCAATAATAATTGTTATATAGATGAAACAAGTCCTCATAAGCGTCACTAAATGCGTAATGATAATAGTTTTCAAACCGGTTAATAATAATACCGCAAATTGCTTGCATCATTGCATTTTGCTGCATTTTTAAAATATTTAAATTCTGCATTATTCAAAGTACCGACGTCATACTAGTTGCAACAGAAAAGACTCATAACAATCTTTTATATCTATTTAAGATAATTTTCATAGATGATTAGTTATATTATAAAATGGATAGAGTAGAGTAGAGCTTAAAGGTCCGAAATAAAAAATGACTTTGCTCTTTCAAATCTAGCTTAATGTCTAAAACACTTTATAAAATACCGATTCATTAGGATTTTATTGACATTATTTTGCTCATTACATGATTTTCGTTAAAATGCATATTTTAGGAGATATTTGCAAAAAGCGAAGAAAAACGCCAAAAATATATGAGTTTTTAGTAGAAGTTGAAAGGTATTAGTTTTTTTGAAAAACTTTAAGAGACATTTTTTCTTATAATTAGTTATTCTATCGATATCCGACGATATTTTGAAAAAATAAAATTACGCAACTGAGAAGGGATGCCATTTCCCCGAGGGGTGGTGGCGGAGATGAACCTAATTCCAAAATTTCATGGAAATCGGAGCACAGTAAAAAAATTCAGACCCAAAATGGTTCGACTAGAGTATAAAGTTTAATAATGTGGTTTATTGTAAAAATAAATAAATTTATTGTTCTCTTTCTAATATGAAATAGAATAAAATCGAAGTATTCCAGCCACGTATATGTAGTGATTGTTATGGATTAGATTTAGATCTCAGGAATTTTAAATAGATCGAATTGCGCATGTTCTATTACATGTTTTATATTAATGTAAAACAATTATATTCATAATATGATTTACAAAAATGTTTATATTTCTGTATATAAGCAGAATCTGTTACTCTAAAAGATCTCTCTTTGTTATTACTATTATTTATATTAAAAAAAACGATTTTATAATAATCAAATTATTGTACATAACCTTCAAATATATGTCCTATATAAGAAACCGATCCGAAACCGGCTAGAAAATTTCTATTAGAAAGAAAACACTTTCTATTAATATTAACTAATCAAAAGGTCATCGTGTTAATTTACGTTTGTATATAACCGTTATTTCAAGCATAATATGCCATCAATTGCATAATTGGCGATAGAGTGCCGGTTTTATCATAAATTTTCACCTGCCTTCCGTATTTCCGCTAGTTTTGTGTTTCTTAGATAGAGAAAGTTATAAAGATGAACAATCCACAAGTAATTTGTAATTATAATATGTATTAGAAATTTTTTTTCCCACTAATTATGTAATTTGAAATTGAAGATACAATGGTTGTATAATGTGTCTATTTAGTTCGAATTGTTGTTTTAATATATTATCTGATTATCATACTATATGATATTCCGGAGAAGTTTTTATTTTCGCTAGAAAATCCGATTGGCTAATTTTCTCGACGTTTCAAGTCATTCTGAATGTACTTGTTATGAGAATTTTGTAGAGATATATTGAAAAGCGTTAATTCTAGTATTTACCTGTTTGTCTGTTATATTTGATGGTACCCCCGGAATTGGTGGTTCCCTGAGGGCTCGGAGATCTTTTTCTTCGGCGTTGCATCTGTCTAAAGCTTCGTGGAGGTCATATCCCAATTCGTGTGAAGCTATTTGTGACATTTAACTAGAAAAAGAAATAACATAATAGCATTAGAATATTTTTTTGATCTATAAAATATATATTTTTAATTGGTGGGATGACACTATACTAAATTATACAAATATTTTTTAACAGCGATCACTACATTTTCTATAATCTTAACCTAGAATTATTCACGAGAGCGTAACCTATCGAGAGGTCAACCACTCTTTTTTATGTGTAGACTATATACACAAAATATGTATATTTAATATTATTGGTGTATTTAAACTGCAGCAATGCTCTCTTAAGATCTGTGACCTAAGTGAAAATTTGCTATCATGCTGCTTGATATCGAGCTGGCCTAGGTTGCGAATAAACCCGAGATTAGTTTGTGCCCGAATTCCTAACTATTAAATCACGACGGGCCGTACTTTAAAAGAATAAACAAATCATTTTTAAATAGGAAGAAACATTATTATGAATATCAATTAAACCTTTGCTTTCTCATAAAAATGAAAACTAGTGGGGCGCATAGCATCGTGCCTTAAGGCAAATTGCTGGAACTTACCGTACCATAAATTATTATTACCGTTTTTGGCACTTTTTCGTCCTATATCTTCGGAACGGCTTGCCCTTGCCAACAACTAGTCAGCAGGTCTCCTTATCAATACGAATCGAATGTTTTTTGAATTATTCAAATCGCTTCATTCGTGTTCTCGAAATCGTCGACGAAATTTTGTATCCGAACACACACACATACACGCGCACACGCGCACATACACACACACACACATACATCCATTTTTTCTAAGGTATGCCAAAATGTTCAGAAGGTTTTAAAACGTAAAGATATATAAAAATTTATGTTTTCGATTTTTTTGCGATTACTATAACTTGCCCTACGGGAAGTTAATTATTGAATAGAACAAATTTATAATATTAGTTTAATCAATTTTATATCAATTTTTTTCCTATAAATCATTTAAATATTTTTATCTATAAAGTATTTGTTAAAATATATAATACTCTACATAAAATAATATTTCTGAATATTTTCAAATATATCAAAGATATTTTTTTTTACATCATAATATATAAATTGGAAAGAAAAAAAGAAAAAAAATGAAATAAATATAAAAATATTAATAGTGATTAAAAATAATAATGTTGATATAATAAATAATAATTATAAATAAATTGTATGAACAATTCTTCACTAAGATTGTTTGAAATTACAATACTTACATGTTCGAATTTCTGTTATGATAAAATGCAAAAACTTGGCAGTAGTTTGGTAACTAAAGACCAGGTATATGTTAAGTTATTTGGCCAATTTCTTTGATTATCTTTTATATCACAGCACTGTTTTTACCGTTATGTAACTGATAATTTGACTCACACGAATTTTAAATGAATAATTTAGAACTTGGATAGGTTATAATAGTCCCTGACGTTTTTCTCACAATCAGTAAGTTTTCCATGCGCGAACTGACTTCTAGAACTGCACATGCGTATTTGTTTACCGATGAAGAGAATACAACGATTTTGTTACTCAAAACGAGTTCTTGTTGACGGAATTTTAACATTCTAACTTTCGTAGTGCCATTGTTCTGATGCAGACGTTTATGGAAATAATAATATCGGACCAAAGTTCAATGGTTCATAAAATACACAAATAAAAACACCTAACTGGTCGATATGAATATTGATAAAACAAAAATTTTAACTATAAACAGAATAAGAGCCTGTGATATAGACGATAACTCACAAAGAAATTGTACCAAGTGCCGTTAAAAAAAATCATGTGACGCTGCTAGCTTTAATATTAAGCTAGCAAAACCACTTTATGTTTTAGAATTAGAAGGAAAAAAATAAAACGAAAATTGATTAATTCGAATTTGTACTAATTTGTACCACCAAAATTAAACCAAAAAAATCGAAAATGGCTACTAAAATCAGTACCCCATGACGGCCGGACCGCCCTGCAGAGAAAAAGCCTGTATTGAAGTCAAAAAGAGCTAAAACTAGTGGGGCGCATGGCATCGTGCCTTAAGACAAATTGCTGGAACTTCCCGTACCAAAAATTATTATTTTTAAAAAAGATTAACATTTTTGAAGAAAATTTACTCTGATCAAATTAAGAAACTATAAATTTTTGACAAAAATTAACTTTTTTTTAAAAAAAAAAAGACTTGTTGAAGAAAAATTTATTTCGAAATATTTTGGAAATTCTGAACTTTTTTTCAAAACAATCGTACTGCTTAGAGATGAAATATCAAAGCGCGTAAGCGCCGTGTCGCCGTCTAACGCATAAACATTGGTACGGAACCCATAGGAATATAACAAACTTTATACTTATTGTTAAAATCTCTATAAAATATCTAATAATTTGATGTGCATATGTCTAATGATCATTTTTGACCGCCAAATGACATTTTTTTTTACTTTTTTTAATAGATCTCCGCAACCGCTAGACCTGCTTTCATGAAATTATTAAAAATTTTGAATTATTAAAATTGGACGCTCCGTTCTCTTAAAAACTGAGTTACCGTTTTTGGCACTTTTTGCCCCATATCTTTGGAACGGCTAGACCTGCCTCTGCGAAAAACTAATCAGCACGTCTCCTTATCAATACGAATCGAATGTTTTTTGAATTAATCAAATTGCTTTATCCGTGTTCCCGAAATCGTCGATGAAAATTTTTATCCGCACACACGCACATACACACACACATCCATTTTTTCTAAGGTATGCCAAAATGTTTAGAAGGTTTTGAAACGTAAAGATATATAAAAATTTTCATTTTCGATTTTTTTGCGATTATTATAACTTGCTAGCTTGCAACACGTTCGGATCGATTTTGCTAATTTGGTCTTGCTAGCTTAAGAGAGGTGAGCCTCTAATTTATGGCAAGTCAAATGTTTATATTAGTACAAGTTCAAATTTATATTTAATATTTTTTGATCCAGTTTTATCTCAACTTCCTTCGAATATTGCATCTAATTTTGATCATGCAACTCTTGAACTAATTCTTGTTAAGAATAAAAGTACATATTCAAGATTGATTGGGTTAGTTTATTGTTTTATAGATCAAATTTAGTGATATGATATATTTTACTTTGTAACTTTCCGTATTATTTAAAATTATTAAAATTAGGCGTATCCAAGGGATAGAATGGCAGTCACATGAAAAATATGTCGTATTTTTTATTTACATATGAAATATTTTAATGAATTTTATTCCGCCTAAAATAATGAAATTTTGTCTTTATATATTTATTCTTATTTTCTTTATTCAACTAAAATGAAAAACCGATTGTTGGATTTGAAAAAGTCAGATTCTACCAAAACAAATAATCTTTGCTGATTTTAAAAATAAAATATGTTTGATATTAACATGTTTTTCTAGTGTAATTGTATAATAAAATAAATAAATAATTAATGAAGCTACTAAATTTTTAAGTTCAATTTTAATTAAATAGTAATTAGTACAGTAATTAAATTACTTTAAAAATATAAATTTAATTTTGTGAATAAAAATATCGATTTATGAAATGATTTAATTTATTGAAATTAATTAATAAAATTGATTTGAACTTACTTTTGATGTTGCTAAATTATACAGTGTTATAATTTGAATAATCAAAACAATATGAATATTATGTAAAAAATAAAAATACTGCAATGAATCAAAATATTTTAAATTTACTAATGTCAAAATTTTAAACAAAAACATTTTTTTTTCAAATAAATTTTTTTACACGTAATGTAATTCATAATGTAATTTAAATATTCTTAAATATTTATATTAATGTTTTAGTGTCTTATATTTACAAAAGGTATTAGTTCACAGATTAAAACAAATTTAATTGAAATTTTAATTATTGAAATATTAATTAAGAATATATAAATAAATCAAACACATTTTATTTTTCTAAATTATTTACTAATTTCGGTTAGTATTTGTCTTCATAATTGGCTCACATAGAACCAATCAGAAAAGTTTTTGTTATATATTTTTGTATATACAAATATACATATATATATTTGTATATATACAGTAGAAACCCGTTAAGATGATTACGCTTGACATGATTTCTCGCCTAATACGCCACTTTAGGGCTATCTCTACACTAAGATTCATTGTCCCTATACCGTATTATAAGTCTTTTGGCTCAAGACGCGTTTATAACCCAGTAATTAAAAATAATCTTAACGGGGTTTTGTGTACATGGAGATAATTATGTTATTACATAAAGAAAGATATTATTTTTCCAAAGAAAGAAATAATCATGTCCATTATAGTATCAAAAATACTTGGTTCCGGTGCATCATCATCGTAATCATCTTCTTCTTCCGTTGTAGTGGTAGGCGGTGCAGGTGTGGTTACCCATTCTGTTTCCGTTTCCGTTGCAGTTTCAGCTTCCCTCTTCGATCTTCGGCGATCAGCACCAGATGGAATATATGCAGGATGTTGAGATAAAACGACTGGATAAAAAAATCAAATATAAATTTGTACTTGTAGAAAAGTATTTATTTTACTTGCCATAAATTAGAAAATCGTCTACACCGTAATCTTTTGTTCTATTTATTGTTTTGCATAATTTTCCTTTATTTATTATCCAATCAGTCGCTTCTTCACTCAGTTCATAGTCATCAGGTTTTAGACTGCAAACATTAGTTGATTCTTCTATTTTTTGCTTGTTTATAATTTCGTAGCCATCTGACAAAAATAGAACTTGTAATTTTCATTTGTACATTACAGATTTTTTAAGACATGGTTTTATCGTTAATATTCTATTTTTTTCCTTATTTATGCTTACCGACAATTAAGCTGAATATCCCAGTTTCATCCACATAGTTGAATAAACCTTCAATATTAACCGATGAAAGGTTTAAGGGTTTTCCTGGTATGTAAGTCCATTCCAATGATTGCCGTTTATGATCAACTTTTGCATTCATATACACTTCTATAATGTTCTCTTCGGAGTAAAAGAAACCTGCACCAGATCGCCCTAGAATTGAATTTTAATTATAACTTTACTTGAAAATTCATTTCACATGCAATATTTATGAGTTTTACATATAAGCAATTTTAAAAAAGCGGAGGCTTTTGATTTCTCTGAATAAATATTTAACAATATATAATTTAATAATTATCTTATATATAAAAATGAATCGCAAAATGTACTGGTAAGCGCATAACTCAACAAAGCCTGGACCAATTTGGCCAATTCTTTTTTTAAAATGTTCGTTGAAGTCCAAGGATGGTTCTTACGGCGAGAAAGTATCGAATAATTGCCGGGAAAACCCAAAAAACAGCCTTTTTCTTTTTCTCATACAAACGTTTTCTAACTGAATCGTAGAATCAGTTTGAGCTTTAATTTTTTTATAATGCGTAAATAAATAATTAAAGAATTTATAAAGGTAAACTGGTGGACAGGTAAATTGGACGATATGTATAATGGTAGAGAGGAGAACTGGTAGTTAGACGAATATGTAGACAAATAAACAGGCTGACAGGTTAATTGGTAGACATGTAGAACGGGATGACAGGTAAATTTGTAGGACGGTAAAATGGTAGATTGATAAACAGGTTGATAGGTAAATTAGTAGACAAATTGTTAAACAAGTAAATTGTTCAACAAGTAAATTATTGAACAGGTTTATTGATAGACATTTAGAACGGGATGACAGGTAAATTGGAAAGCAGGTAAATGGGTTGACAGGTGAATTGGTAAGCCGGTAAAATGGTAGATTGATTAACACGTTGATAGATATATTCGTAGACAAATTGTTGAGTAGGTAAATTGTTGAGCAGGTAGTAGTAATGTTAAACTAAATGTAAGAAATACACATCTTTGTTCAACTTTTTAATTTAAACTAAATTACGGCAAAGCGTAAACGGGTACAGCTAGTATATATATATATATAATATATATATATATATATATATATATATAATTATTGGAGTTAATATTGCAATTGTATAAAATTTAAATTGTCACCACCGTCCAAAATTTGCTGAATCTACGAACACAAATGTGTAACTATTATATTAGGACTATACAATAAGCATATTTAAATATGTTTCTTTATAATTATAATATATATATATATATATATATATATATATATATTATAATACTTTTTTTTGATAATTCAAACATGATGTTTACCTTTCATCGACCATTTCCACACAATCCAACTTCCAGGATTTTGTTCTATTCGCCAGGTTTGGCCCTTAAGTTTTCCAACGTACCACATCCAGGTCTGTTCATTAGCAGCCTAATTATTTAAATTAACTTTATGATGAAACAAATCATAATCTAGAAACTAGGTTTAACAAAGATGTTGGAAAAGGATATGATTTATCATAAAAGGGATATAAAATATTATTTTTGTGATAAAAATGAAATTTATTTTAAATAACTCTTGAAAAAGAAGAAGTAGGAATAAATCCTTGGAGCTTGCTGTTATGACCGAACCAGTTAATTTAATGGAAAGTTTTTGATATTTTTTTCAGGGCATCTCACTGCGGTTTTGATATAATAGTCTAGTCATTTAACCCAGCTGTAAGTCTGTAAATACTTGTATTTTGCATCCTAAAAGTTGCCTTAAAACCTACATATGGTAGGGTGTACGCAATATATGTAGGTTTTGAGACAAGTTTTAGGGTGCAAAATGCAAGTATTTACAGACTTACAGCTGAGTATCTCGAATTCCGAGGTGAACTTACTATACTGACTGGACTATAAACCATTTATTACTATATAAATAATATTTGTATCAGAATAAGTTAATTCCATTGTAATATTTCTAACTGCAAATTCCTGATTAACATCTTTTAGGTGATATATCCACACTTCGAAACTATGTATAGATATATATGTTATGCATTTATTATCTATCACTTTCAAGGTAAACGATAAGTAAATGAAGAATGCAGCAGGGAATGTTATAACTTTGTAATACATTAAAGAATCTGGTTAATTCTTAATTTGGGACTAGAATGGAATGAAAAACACAAAAAAGATCTGAATAATATTCGATATAATTCCAAAAGAAAAACTGCTAAGCACGTTTTACTGAATTTGTCTTATACATGGTTAATATTTGTAATAGTGTTTTGAAATAAATTTTGTTCAAAAATTAGGATATTAATAGAATTGAAGGATGGACCATTTTAATTAACATAAATCGTTTCTCAGCCTATTTCTACTTTTACCTCCTCATATACTCCCGTAACACCAACGAATAGAATGGAACAGCCCAAAAAACTTAACCAAGAAAGCTGCACGTACATTTTAGCGGTTGAAATATGTTTAAATTATAAAAATACTAAATGTATGTTTTATCTCACATAAACTACGTAGGTAAATGAAACAATGCCGACCATGAAATTCATTGGCCATTTTCATCATTAGTTTTATATCATATAAAATTTTTAAACGCTTACCTTTTTGCAATTTTCATGATCATTTCCGTCCATTTTCTATAAACTTCCGGTGATCTTCAGTTGTAATTGCAAATAAATCCATTTATTCGCGCTAATCGCATATTTAGATCAAAAAGTCTACTTATAATGTGCATAATGATAATTCTGTATCATAGACTGTATAATCGTATGATCGATGGTTATTGGTTATGTCATAATTGAATATAATCGTTTGAAAATAAATTAGTTTATCAATTTACTGCAAGTTATGAAAATACTTAGTTGCTGCATTTTACATAAAGATTAAATCTTAGCTGGAGATGGATGATATTTAAAAAAAAAAACAAACATAAAGTATATGTAAATAAAAATAAACGTGTATATGATGTTTTTTAAACATTAATATCCCATTAAGAGGCTATAATTATTAAATAATAATTAAAGACAATTAGTTGTAAATAGCATGTAGCCTAAAGAATTTGCGTGAAATGGCGTGAACTTAGTAATTTTGACGCGTCACGTTATCCCAAACTTTAATGAATTTTTATAAATAATTTACTTTTTGTAAACCTATAATAATCAAGTACCATGTCCTTTATCATCATAAAATTCATAAACAACATCAACTAATTTTTTTTTACAATTCATAACGAAGAAACGGCCTGGCCGATTATTGCCAAAAACTAATCATCAGTACGGTTCCCAACTGATATCTTTCGAACGGTTTTCAAATTTTGAGGTTTTTTGCGAGAACGTGGATTAAAAATTTGCACTTTTCTGTAAATTCTAGGAACAGAAAAACGACTCGGTTGATCGCAAAACTAATCAACGTGAGTCTTCATCGAGTAGCTTCGAATGGTTTTAACATTTTCGAGATGCGTGGAGCATTTTATGAATAAACATCGTCGTAAGATTTATAATAATAATATAATAATGATTCATAATTACTTAAAACGTCGAAAAGACAAAATTATCAAGTCGAAATATGAACTCATCGAAATATATAGCGAAACATGGCGAAACAAACTTTACCATCGAGAAGAAAATTAAACATGATAATACTTTATAAATATTTTAAATTTTTAATATCTGTTTTATAAATTTTCATGTAATGTTTAATAAAATAAAAGTTTTATATTATATTTTATCATTGATGCCAACTTTTTACTAGTTTACTATATACTGGTGCCATCTGTCAAAATTAAAGCGCACTGAAGTTGTTTATTTACCTGTCACCAATATTTGCACTCAATTTGCAATGGATTTCAATTAAAATAGAAATGCTATACTCTTGAAATAAAAAAAAATTAAAATTCAGTTAATACTGCTCAATACACTATTTCTTATGATGCAATGTTTAACTAAATAAAAGATTTATATTATATTTTATCAATGTTGCAAACTTTAAAACAAGGCTCACTTCACAAACGTGTCGTGCCATCTATGGTGCCATCTGTCAAAATATTTTATCTATGGTGCCATCTGTCAAAATTAAAGCGCATTGAAGTTGTTTGCTTACCTGTCGCCGGTATATTATTGGCAATATTTGCATTAAATTTGCAGTGAATTATAACTAATTGTTAAAATAGAAATGCTATTACACTATCGTTTCAATATTCTTGAAAGAAACGATATTTCAAAACTCAGTTAATACATTTTTTACTATGATTGCAAAAACCTTTATAATTAATGAAGCTTTTGAGAACTTTGGCAAATTGTTTAACATTCTTTGTATATATAATGGATTTGTAATATAATGCAATATGTATGCAATATGCAATCTTCTTTTGTATTAAATCAATAATCAGAATACAATTTAATAATGATTTGATTTTTTCATATATAAAAATTATAATCTTCAAAGCCATATAAAAGGTTTGCAAGGTTTTATTTGTAATTTAATAAAAAATATAAAAATATGAAAACTGAAATAGATAGTTATTATAATATAACATCATTTAAGGGCATTTAAGGGTTTGGCTTCTGGATAAAGCGAAAATCCGGCTCAGTTTTTGGCAATCTGGCAATATAATCAATTCGAGCAGTTCACGCGATGACGTCAACATACGGTAATTTCAAAATGGCCGCTTATATGGTTAAGTTGAAGTAACAGGTGAGGTGATGTCAAAACTATAGTGTAGTTTCTTCATTTTTTGTGTTTTATTTTTAATTAAAGTGCAATGCAATTATATAAATAATTAACGAAATATGTGATATAAGGTAATTTATTGTGTGAATATATAATTGAGTTAAGTGAAGTGGTTTTAGTGTTTATTTATTTCAGTGATGACAGTTCCTTCGATTACCTGAAATGGCATTTGTGTTTGAGGTATATTGCTATTATATATTGCATACTCAATGGAAATTTTCATGTATTGTATTTAATTCTTCAGTTTTTAAACTAACAAGCTATCAATAATTGATTACGCAAATTTTTATCACCTGTTTCGGTGAATGACAATATAAGATAAGACATATTAGTTTTGCACAAAACTTTGATTACTGAAACTTCCAATCGAAAATGAATTTTATTTATTTATGATAATTAAGTGCAGGGGAAAACATTGCTTTAAATAATATCAAGAATAATAACAAACTATTTTATTCGATATTCTGTTTCGCATTAAATAAATTTGCAACCATTATATTAATATGTCTTACTTTTATTATGGTAAATAGAACAACAATTCTTAACTTAGAATTTAATATTATCAAGTTGAAAACTGTAATAAAATATATGCAATGAAATAGTATGCAATTAATCATGCCTGAAATGAATAAAATATAAATTAATAACTATTAATATTATACAAATTAATTAATTATTATTATATTAATCATTAAAATAAATATTATAAATAATAATATTATATAATTAATTATTATTATATAATTTAATTAATATTATATAAATTCATCACTCTAAAATAAAAATTAATTGCAGTATAAAATTTTAAATGCTTCAAGATATGGAAAATATTTTTTAGTTATTAAAATAACGAATTAATCAATTAATAATATACGGAATACATAAATGAATAAAATTTCATTTTCACTATATATTGCCATATATAATACTCTTCAAATAAAACCAAACTTTAGCTTATTTTTAACTTGATAAATTTGTATAACTATTCTTGGTCAATATAATAAATAATATACTAGATGCTATGTTCTCGAATTTCTTGTAAACAGCACTCACGTTTACAATTGAAATATTTATAAATAAATTTATAGAAGAAAAACAGAAATTAAATCTAAATCCAAATGTAAACAAATGAGTAAATGTTTTGGTGTTATAAGCAGAAATTAAATACCGAAATACCTTTCAATGCACTAATTTATTTAACTTCTGGAGAGTATTATATTTTGTAATATTCGTTAAATATTATAATTATAATTTAATACAAGGGCTCGCCCGTAGGTAAGCGGTTAAGAGCGACGGGACTTGTTTCAGAGGTCCCGGGTTCGATACCCACTTCGAACAGCCTGTTGTCAGGCAGCAGTGACAACGATTTTCACTTGGAAATATAGATAGCAATATGTTTCCAAGTGAAAATAGCCCTTGCCCGGCATTGCTGCACCAATAAAAATGTCAAAATGTCAAAATGTCAGCCCTATTAGATTAATTCTAATATTAAAAATCATCAAATATGGATGGATTAACCATTGGGTTACCATCTAAAAAAATAAGAAGGAGAAGTTTCAGCCCAACAGCTCATAGGACGTTAGGTTGTGATTGCTGTTCTAAAACATGATTAAAAAAATAATAATTTAATACAAAGAAAATAATGAAATGCAATGCTATGCTATCCTTTTAAGGATTTAGTCCTCATTTAACTAATTAAAAATTCAGAATCCACCCAGTGGTAATCTAACCGTAAGATTCGCTGATTTCTATTATTTCATTTATTTATTAAAATAACTTTAACGCTTTGGTGAGATTCCTGCATGATTTCATTGTTTAAAATAATATATGCTTTTATGCAAATTGTAAGAGAACTAAGAAAATATTTCCCATTTCATACTGATATGTTGGCTAATGATTGAACAACAATCAAAAGATGCTTAGATTCTTGTCGTGTTCTCACGTATATGAGGTTTGTCATACTTTCAGACACCTTATTTTAAAGAATTGTGATGAATGGGCAATACAACGGCATTTTTAACCACATACACGATATTGTTGTATTAGATTTTATTGTTTGTATTAGATTTTATTACAAAAAATACTTAAAATGCAATTAAATCATAATAAACCTTATTATATCAGCACTTCTTCCTCATAGATCTTTTTCTCTCTAACAATAAGATTCAATTTTTGGTATAGATCATAAGAACATGAATGAATTTACTCGTAGTATACTAACATGAACCTTACTCGTAGATTTTTTCCTGTCCAATAATAAGATTAAATCATTGGATTAGATTATAATATAAAAACCTGATAATTTAATTTACAGTGGGGTGCATAGCATCGTGCCTTAAGGCAAATTGCTGGAACTTCCCGTACCGTAATACAAATCTTGGTACGGAACCCAAAAAAATTTACACAAAATATCTACACATTATTAAAATCTCTATAAAATATCTGATAATTTGTTGTACATATGTCCAATAAACATTTTTAAACGCCAAATGACATTTTTTTAACTTATTTTTATTGAGAGTCCATAACCTGGACCTGCTTTCCCAAAAATTTAATCAGTTCTTCACCTTGTCAATACAAGTAAAACGTTTTTTGAATCATTAAAATCGGACACCTCGTTCTCTTAAAAACTGAGTTACCGTTTTTGACACTTTTTCCCCGTATCTTCGAAACTGCTAGACCTGCCTGTGCAAAAAACTAATCAGCACGTCTCCTTATCAACAGCAATCCTATGTTTTTTAAATAATTGAAATCTGTTGAACCGTGTTCCCGAAATCGTCGACGAAAATTTGTGTCCGCACGCACACACACACACATACATCCATTTTTTCTAAAGTATGCCAAAATGTTCAGAAACCTCTGAAACGTAAAGATATATAAAAAAATTTATTACCTTACGCGAAGTTAATAATATTTATAAATTAAATCTATGTAACTCTTATATTTCTTATAGGATAACACCTACATCATAAGTTCCTATTCGTGTATTTTAATAGCCTTAACGAAAGCCTATACGTTGCATTCCACGCCTTATATCTACCATACGCTATATTTCATCTTATATTCTCAATCCCTACATTATATACCGAATACACTTATATCTATTATATTATCCTATTACCTACAATATCTCTTACGCGCAATTTTTACCCCTACCGGGAATCGACCCCCGGTCCGCCGCGTGGCAGGCAACGACCTTAACCACTACACCACCGTAACGCTACGATCAATCGTCTTTTTTCGCGTGTCGTCGCGACACCTTAGTATTAATTAATTAATTATAAAATGAACCGCGGTAACAATAGTGCGTCTCATATTATATTATTGGTGGGGGTACCCGATAGGGTAGTGGTTAAGGTGCGAGACTGCCACGCGGTGGTCCCGGGTTCAATTCCCGGTATTGACAATAGATAGGTAGAGATAATAATAATAATAATAGAAATTTAGATTTATAAGGAGTAAAACATATGTAGGTTAAGAAGTATAATTTACAAGGAGTAAAACATATGTAGGTTAAGGAGTAAAATTTATAAGGAGTAAAACATATTATAAGTTAATGGTGAAACAGATATCTCACGGTATAATACATTATAGATAGATTATCTATAATATTTAATAGTATAGTATAATTAAATAATATGATAGATAATAGTTTGATTATCTATCATATCATTAGGTCAAGTCTTATAACGTATTGTAATAAATCTAGTACTTTTATATGATTTATATTCTAAACAATTTCTAGAGAATCAAAAAAATTAATACTTTAAGTGTATAAGGATGTGTTGTTTGAATGATATATACAATGATGTATTATAGAAACAATAAACCCCATTAGTTTGTCTATATTTTGTCTATAAAACAAGCAGAAAGTTCTTTCAATCATTCAAATCGTACGCTTAGTTCTCCCAAAAACTGCCATTTTTTGCACATTTAGCTTTGTATCTTCGAAATGGCTGTGCCTGCCTTTGTCAAAAACTAATAACCACTTCTCCCAATCATTATACCAATTGAATGTTCTTTAGATCATTCAAATCGGATGCTCCATTCTCTCAAAAACTCGATTTCTATTTTCTGCATTCTTTGCTCTTTATCTCCGTAACTGCTGGACCTGCCTTTGCCAAAAACTAATCAGCACATCTACATCAGCCATTCAAATCGGTTAATCTTAATCTCAAGTTCAGAAGTGAAAAGAATTTGCTCTCCTTCACCACATCCCGCATTAATTGCATTAAAACTCTTTTAATTCTGACTTTATCAGAACTTGTAATATGCTATTTTAAAGGTAATGACAAATGGCAATCTTTTTTCTCAACAATGCCTCAAATATTTTCAATGTCAATAAATGATAAGCGTTTTTTTATAATTTTTTCTATTTATTTCTACAATCTAACTATTTTTCTATAATTCAAAAAATGCTAAAAAATTCCCATAACAAACTTCAAAAAGATTTATCAAAATTAGGATAATCGGTTAGGAGGATTATACACCACTACAGAGGAATTTTAACGCTCAAATTGATTCTACGTTTTAGTTAGAAAACGCTTGTATGTGAAAAAGAAAAGGGACTTAAACATCTTTAAATATAGTTGTTTTGTTTCAATCGATTAACTATTTTTAAATATTACTTCATAGAAATAAGTTCTCTGATAATGAACTTGTTTGGTTTTCATAACACCATCGCGTAATATTTAAATATAATAAAAATTCTTTTATTATAATTTGAATCATTCGGAGTTGGTCGTGATTTATAATTTAAATATTATTCGTTTTCAAGTATTTTTTTCCTTTGTTTATAAGTAATGAGAAACGTAAATACAGCCAAGGCTTAACAGACAACATTTTCTACATCTTATGTAAATACTTACATATAAATATATTCAGATTTAAGAAATTAACTTTTGAATTTTTAGGTAACAATAATATATTTAAATGCAATAAGTAAATTTAATTATAAGCTACATAGGACGTGAAATATTGTATTTGATTAATATTTAGTGCGTTATTTGTTGACGCCGTTAATAATGTTATAAATCATATGGCTTATAAACAGTGATTATTTGTATACTAGCTGACCCGGCAAACATTGTTTTGCTAAGTAAGGTATATTTTAAACAGTTTCTAGAGAATCAAAAAGATTAATACTTCAAGTGTATAAGGATGTGTTGTTTGAATGCTATATACAATGAGGTATTATAAAAACAATAAACCTCATTAGTTTGTCTACATTTTGTCAATACAATCAAACTGGAAGTTTTATACACTTTCTATAGAAAACATAGTATAATCCAATCCAAGTCTTTTTTGGACTTTCGCCTTATTGATTACGTTTCAAGTTTTTCAGATTCTTTTTGGATTCCGGATTTTGTGTATAATTGTAAATAATACTACTGAGCTTATACAAAATTTTCAAATTTCTGCGAGGAGAGATAGAAAATGAATTAAGTATTTCTTCTTTGACCTGCTTTTCGAAAAGTTTCAAGTTACATTCGATTAATTAACGTAAATTTAATAAAAAGTAATATATATAATAATACATATAGTATATGTAGAGCAGGGCCAGGCACAAAGGTCCAATTTGACTTTGAGCAAATATTAATTATATTATAATAATCAAACCAATTATATCATAACAAATAACACATTTCAAACGAACAAATATCTGATTACTGCCAGCTACTTCATCATTGTAGAAATGTGCTTTTTTGCTATCTTTCAAAAATAGACCTAGACTTTTTTACCTCATAGACGGGGTAACTTGGAACGGCCAGGTGGCAAACGGGTTTAATGTCTTACTTTAGTTTTAAAGGTTTTTTTTACAAAATAATTACACTTTTAACTAATGCTAACAAACTACCTCTTGAAGAAATTACGCTTATTATGGATTTTCAAAGATTACAGTTTATCTCCAGATAGCAAAGTCATAAGAATCAAGGTTATAGCTGGTTATACATCTTTTTTCCTCTACTTTTAAATATTGTTGTTAAACAATGTTTAACTTTACTGATTTTTGACGCATAGGTGGTGGACCTTTTTAACCCCGGACCTTCATATATTACTATCTATTTTTCGATAAATTGTGGGAAATTATAACTGGAAAAATGCTATTCGACAAAATGTCCCTTTGATCGATACGAAATTTAGGTTCTGAATTTGAATAACATAAATAAAAAATAATATAACCTAGAAAATATTTTATAAATACTACCAATAAGTATATAATTATACAAATGAGATCTTTTAGAGTTCCGTGTTTGAGAAAAATATGATTTGCAGAAAAAGAGTGCATACACATAACCAAAAACGCAAAAAAAATGCATTTTCATATTAACATTTCAAAAAAGTTTATATTTTGAGTTTCTAGTAACACTTGCGATCCGTTTAATAACGTTTTTGTGTATAAATATAACTACGAACAAAACTACTTACTACAATTTAATCATAATTAAATAATATTCACAAAAAACATCCTATTAAATGTAATCATCTGTCAAAAACGTTTGACATTTCACGAATTAGCCACCGTCCATTGTTTTATTCAAATTACGCTTCTACAAAAAATTTTAAATTAAAAATGTAAAGTTTCTACGCGATTTTGAAATAATATCTCACCTTTCCGACCATCTCTGGATTGACACGAATTTTTCAAGACTAAGGCTGGCCAAATCGGTTTAGGCGTTTTCGAGTTTTACCGGATCATTTGATCGAAAGGTCCATTTTTATATATAAGAATAATAAACTCTTTTAACAAAAAGCTTTGATATCAGCGATTGGCGAAATAAGGACATATTATTGTAAGTTATCAATGTTTCAGCTAAGAAAAATCGAATTAAAAGTACACTTTTCTAAATAGGTTCTCATAACTGAACAATTTTTATTTTTATTAAGTAAACATAAATTACAGGATTCTATACAGCTGCGGTACGATTTGATATTATTTTCTGCACCTTACCGATGTTTTGAATCTAATTAATTTGAAATAGTAAAGTATTACCAATTTTAAATAAATAGATCTATTAGTATCGATTGTATATATATAGCTCACGGGATATCAAATAGAGCAATTAAAACTATAATTAATTGTGCATTTTGGATTCGATTTCAGGTCTGTTTTATGTCGATGTTTACTTTTCGTTTATAATACATATGCCAAGAAAGTTTGCGAATCTTTTAGAGTTTTGTTTACCGTGGAATAGAATGAGATATATTATATTACTGTGTTTGCCAAAAGTCATTATTAGAGTTCACGTATTATTTCCAGAAATATTATATTGAGTATTTTTCATTCTGATTGTACACAAACACTGATATTAGAATATTCTTGTTCTTATTTTTAAACAGCAATCAGAATTTAAAAGTTCTATGAGTTGTTGCTAAGAAAATTGTATATTTTTAGAATGAGACTCAGCTGTTATCCATATTTGGCATATTTATTTTTATTATTAGAATTGATCTAATGCTGATGATATTTTTATTTAACACAGAAATTCGGTATAAGTGCTTATGTCGTAATATGCATAGTTTTTTTTAATCTAGTCATTTTTAACATATGACACGTATACACTATTATATAATTAACTTCCCGAAGAAGATTCGCTAATTTTATATTTTCTCGACGTTTCAAGCCATTCTAAATCGAATGAGACCAAATTTGGCAAAATTATGTGTGTGTGTGCGTGTGCACCAACAGATTTTTTTGCCGTAAATCGACGTTTTCTCAAAAACGGCTGGATCGATTTCAAAAATTTAAAAGGCATTTGATGTATGTGGACGAGGACTATCGTTTGTCAGTTTTGTACGACGATCGGCCGAGACGTTTCTTTATAAATAGCAGAAAAGTGAAAAATTTTTCGTCCACGTTTTAGCCCGCAATTCTGAATAGATTATGAAAATTCAAAAACCGTTCGAAAGATATTGGTTGAGAATCGTGCTTGCAATAAAGTGTTAAAAAAAATTTTTCGACGATTTTTATTATTTTTTTTTTTTGACGGTAGATACCATAGTCTTCTAGATCATACTAAAATATTACGGCCCTACTACAATTGGTTTAACTTTAAAAATTCGTCAAAGTTTGCAAAAATTGGTATCGTTTTTTTGGCAAAATTAGACCTTTCATCGACGTTTTCTCAAAAACGTCTGAACCGATTTAAGAAAATTAAAAGCCATTTAATGTATCTCGATGAGGAGTATCGTTTGTCAGTTTTGTGCGACGATCTGCCAAGCCATTCTTTGTAATTTGGAAAAAAGTGTTAAACTTTACGTCCACATTTAAGCTCATACTACCGAATCGATTTTAAAAAATCAAAAACTGTTCGAAAGACATTAGTTGAGAATGATACAGATTAGTTTTAGGTGAAAATCTACCGAGCCGTTTTCTTGTAATTAACTGTTGAAAAAAAATTAAGCCGATTTTTATGGATCTTTTTTTGGCGATATATACTATGGTCTTATAGAACTTACTGAATTATTACGGCCTTACGACAAGTAGTTTAATTTTAAAAATTCATCAAAGTTTAAGAAAATAAGTAGTTTGTTTGACGTTTGTTAAAATTAAAATTAGACGATTTACTTGGTATAATGATAGAGTACCTGGTCTTATTAAACATACTAAACCATTCAAGTCTTACGGATACTGGTATAATTATAAAAATGGTTGATTTTTGAAAATTTGCTTTAAGAAAATACTCCGAATGTTGATTCGTTTTCAATTATGTGTAATAAATCCACTCGGAATACTTTTCGGGAAGTTCATGTAACTTGCCTCAAGGCAAAATACCAATGCCAACTAGTTTTTTAAGGATTTTAAATTTTTATATTTTATTTAATATATAATGCTATATTAAAAGCGCTAGAGCTTTATTAACTTCAATTCACAAAAGTAAGATTTTGTGAAGATTATGAAATTTTATATTAAATGATCGTTACGAAGAAACGATCCACGTTTATTTTTTCAAAATTGATTAAAGAAAAATACTGTGAAAGAGAAATTGAAAAATACACTTTATTTTTTATTTCATACTTATTTTATACATTATTTGAGACTTTTATTTTCAATTCTGAATTAAAAGCAGATAATGCGTGAATAAAATATAATAATTGCAGTAACTTCAATATTTTTATATAATTCTTAGGTATGGAACTATTCCATTACTTTATATATTATGAAAGAAAATAATATATTGTAAATTATATTAAAGTACAGTTATGTTGATTTAATTGTTTATATATATATATATATATTAACCGCAAAAAAATACAAAATGTTGAACTAAATAATGCATTTAAATACCGCACTTAAATATTTAAAAAAATGTAATATGTACATTAGAGCGGGTCGATTTGTATGGGTAAAAAAAAGACGCATAGGCACATATGATTTTCGGACACTAGGGATCAAAATAAGATACTTTGCCGAAGAAACCATATCTCTAAATTGAATTCTGATGTTCCGTGCGTTAACCCAAAAATAGGGGTTGAAATTTGAAAAAAATCATTTTGACCCTGTTAGAGTGCCCCAATTGCTTCCAAATGTAAGGCCGACCCCCGCTAATTTTGGAAGACCAAACCACCTATGCCCCTGGTTTAACCCCTGAGTCCCCCCTGTAAGGTTTTTCAAATTTCAACCCTTATTTTTGAGTCAATGCATGGGACATCAGAATTCACTTTAGAGGTATGGTTTCTTCAGCAAAGTATCTTATTTTGGTCCCAAGAATTTGAAAATCATATGTGCCAAAGTGACCTTAAAATCGACCTACCCTAATGTACATGTTTCGTGTTATATTTTGTTTTGAATCCAAATCACACATGGGCAATATATATAATATAATGAGAATAACTGTACAATATTATATATATATATATATATATATATATATATATATATATATATATATACATATATACAACAATATTTTACATATTTAAATTTTTAATTTCTTTTAGATATAGAAAAAGCTGTGATGCCTGCACATGAAAATGACGGAGGAACGAAACGCGCCAGTATGGTCGGGTGAGTTTTTTTTTTCTGACAATATTTCTTATCATCAATTATCAGTATTTATTATCAGACCTAGTATCAGTTTAATTTATTAATTCATATATTCACATATTCAAGTAAATAATTTGTTCAATTGAACTAACTACAAAATAGATTTATTACTTTGACATAATGATGGTGATTTTGTTCATTAATGGTCTTGTGCAGCATAATAGTTCTAGTAGAGAAATTTTAACTTTGCTATGTTTTCAAGTTACATTTATGTTTTGTCAAGTGATGGGTAAGAAATTTGTCCAGTTTTTAAGAGAAATATGTCAATTTACAGAGTTTAGTACTATATTAACCTTTCTTCGAGGTATTGCATAAAGACGAGTTGCCAAATAGAGCAAACTTGTATTTGGTGTTTTACTTTGCCTTTTCATATATAGGTTTTATATCATAAAGTTAAATTCGCAATTTATTCAATTAAGTCGATGTATTCAGCAGGATCAGCAATAAATAATGATTTGCTATAACTAATAAATTTGATATATTTCGTTAACTTTATTCGGCAAGCCTTAAGATTATAGATATTTATAGTAGTTTTTGAGAATAAAATAAGCAAGAGGCCAATGGCAATATATAGAGATTGCGCGATCATCTCTATATCTTACCTTTATACCATGTATTATTGTATTAACTTCCCGTAGGGTAGTTATAGTAATGGACCGAAAATCGAAAATGAAATTTTTTTCATTTCTTGACGTTTTGAAGGTTTCTGAACATTTTGGCATACCTCAGAAAAAATGGATGTGTGTGTGTGTTTTGTACGTCCGCATTTTTTTGTTCACGTTTTCATTTGAATGGTTAAAAAAACATTCGATTCCTATTGATAGGGAGATGTGCTGATTAGTTTTTGGCAAAGGAAGGTCCAGCAGTTACGAGCTGAATCGAGTTTTTGGGAGCATCCGATTTGAATGATCTAAAAAACATTCAATTGGTAGTGATTGGGAGAAGTGGTTATTAGTTTTTAGCAAAGGCAGGCCCAGCCATTTCGAAGATACAAGGCTAAATGTGCAAAAAATTTGAGAGAAATTTTGAGAGAACTAAGCGTACGATTTGAATGATTGAAAGAACTTTCTGCTTGTTTTATATAATATTTTATATAAATATAGACAAACTAATGTGGTTTATTGTTTCTATAATACATCATTGTATATATCATTCAAACAACATATCATTATACACTTAAAGCATTAATTTTTTTGATTCTCTAGAAATTGTTTAGAATGTACCTTACTTAGCAAAACAACGTTTGTCGGATCAGCTAGTTATCATATAAAAGTACTTAAGATTTATTACAATACGTTATAAGACTTAACCTAATGATATGATAGATAATCAAACTATTATCTATCATATTATTTTATTATACTATACTATTATATATTATAGATAATCCATCTATTATCTATCATGCCGTGAGATATATCTGTACCACCATTAACTTATTATATGTTTTACTCCTTATAAACTTTACTCCTAACCTATATATGTTTTACTCCTTATAAATTATACTTCTTAACCTACATATGTTTTACTCCTTATAAATCTTAATTTCTATTATTTAATATATATATTTACCTATATTATTATCTCTACCTATCTATTGTCTATACCGGGAATTGAACCCGGGACCACCGCGTGACAGTCACGCATCTTAACCACTACCCTATCGAGTACCCCCACCAATAATATAATATGGGACGCACTATTGTTACCGCGGTTCATTTTATAATTAATTAAGTAATTAAAACTAAGGTATCGCGACGACACGCGAAAAAAGACGATTGATCGTAGCGTTACAGTGGTGTAGTGGTTAAGGTCGTTGCCTGTCATGCGGCGGACCGGGGTTCGATTCCCGGTAAGGGTAAAAATAGCGTGTAAGAGAAATTGTAGGCAAATAGGATAATATAGTAGATATAAGTGTATTCGGTATATAATGTAGGGATTGAGAGTATAAGATGAAATATAGCGTATGGTAGATATAAGGCGTGGAATGCAACGTATAGGCTTTCGTTAAGGCTATTAAAATACACGAATTGGAACTTATGATGTAGGGTTATCCTATAAGAAATACAAAAGTTACATAGATTTAATTAAATAATAAACATTATTAACTTCCCGTAGGGTAAGTTATAGTAATCGCATAAAAAAGGAAAATGAAATTCTATTGATAAGGAGACGTACTGATTAGTTTTTGGCATAGGCAGGTCTAGCCGTTTCGAAGCAAAAAGTGCCACAAACGTTAACTCCGTTTTCAAGAAAACGGAGCGTCCGATTTTAATAATTTAAAAAACATTTAACTTGTATTGACAATATGAAGAACTGATTATATTTTCATGAAGGCAGATCTAGCGATTTCGGAGATTTAGTGAAAAAGTAAAAAAAAAGCCATTTGGCGGTCAAAAAAGATCATTGACATATGCACATCAAATTATCAGATATTTTATAGAGATTTTAACAATTAGTATAAATTTTGTTTACATTCCTATGGTTCCGTACCAATGTTTATCAGTTAGACGGCTACGCGCCGCTTACGCGCTTCTATGTTTCGTCTCTATGCAGTTAACCACGGACCGCAGTACGATTTCTTTTAAAAAAGTTCGGAATTTCCAAAATATTTCAAAATAAAGAAAACATTTTTTTCAAAGCTTTTTTTTCCTAAAAAATGAATTTTTGTCAAAAATTTATGGTTTCTCAAAAATCTAATTTGAGTTCCAGCGTTTTGCCTTAAGGCACGATGCCACTAACCAACCACTAGTTTTTTTTATTTTGAATATTAGAAAAAACAAATTGTGTATTAACTTTACAATTAATTTTCTTGCCATTTTTACATATTGTTGCATATTTCAGTCTTAATTATCATACATTTTTAAAGAAATCTATGTTTTATTGATGTTGCGCCCGATTATTCGACCTTGCCTGCACACTTATCAACATCAAATTCAAAATCATGCGTGATGATGTTCGTAAATTAACCTGAATTATTCGGTGTATTTCCTTAATTTTTTTAAGATAATTTTGGTTTTCATAATTGATTTATTATGTGAGATAAAGTTATCATGCTATCGATTTAGTATCTTATTCCTCTTGTGCTTTTTATCATTCAAAGATGTAAAATGGAAAATAGTATCACCTTAATCCCTGGTTTTATGCCATTGGTACATTTATGAAAATGTGAGAATTGAGTAGTGACATCTCAAAAGACTTCTATTATCAATGAACGAACGCCTAATCATATTACATATATTTGAGATACATTTATCATTCATATGAGAAATCATATTAAAGAAAATTGATGGATTTTATAATATAATATGTCTGGGTACATAACTTTATCATCGAAAAGCGTGTGTTATTATTAACTTCCCGTAGGGTAGTTACAGTAATGGGCCGAAAATCGAAAATGAAAATTTTTGCATATCTTTACGTTTTGAAGGTTTCTGAACATTTTAGCATACCTCAGAAAAAATGGATGTGTGTGTGCTTTGTATGTCCGCATTTTTTCGTCCACGTTTTCGATTGATAGGGAGATGTGCTGATTAGTTTTTGGCAAAGGCAGGTTCAGCAGTTAAGGAGCAAAGAGTGCCGAAATTAGAAATCAAACGTAATATCCGATTTGAATGATTTAATAAAAAACATTCAATTTAATGATAGGGAAAAGAGGTGATTAGGTTTTGGCAAAGGCAAGTCCTGGCTTTTCGAAGATACAAGGCTAAATGTGCAAAAAATTGCAGTTTTTGAGAGATCTAAGCGTTCGATTTGAATGATTCAAAGAACTTTTTGCTTGTTTAAACAAGATAATTGCTTTTGAAAAAAAAATGTTTCAAATTGTTTTTTTTTCAAAATTTTTTTTTCTTATTATTCAGATTTTATTTTTAATTCTGACTAGCGTCCGATTTTAATAATTTAAAAAACATTTAACTTGTATTGACAATATGAAGAACTGATTATATTTTCATGAAGGCAGATCTAGCGATTTCGGAGATTTAGTGAAAAAGTTAAAAAAAAAGCCATTTGGCGGTCAAAAAAGATCATTGACATATGCACATCAAATTATCAGATATTTTATAGAGATTTTAACAATTAGTATAAATTTTGTTTACATTCCTATGGTTCCGTACCAATGTTTATCAGTTAGAAAATTCTAAACTTTAAAGAAATAATTTCAACTTTGCAATTCAGTATCTTCTTATAAATATTAGACAATGTTACAATATTTATAATAATCTATTGGAAAACATTTAACATTCTTCGAACATTTCGTTACGGTACGGAAAGTTCCAGCAATTTGCTTTAAGGCACGATGCCATACACCACTAGTTTATATTTATATTTGTGCGGACTTAGGTACCTAATATTACAATAATTGTATACAAGAATAATAATTTAAAATAATATGGAAAATGTTCTTAAGTCTAATAAATAAATTAATAATAAAACAACAATATTAGTTGATAATTCATTCATATTCTAAAATAATATTAATTTCTCGAAACTTTTGCTTTATTTCCTTATACATAGTTACAAACTGCCTGTAATGGCATTCAGTAATTTTGATGGCCAATGTGTAAATACATTTTAAAATGCTACTCACTGCCACTGGTAGTCATTTCAAGTTTGAGTATTAGATAGGAATAATATACAGAAATAAATAATAATAAATCTAAAGTACATGCTAAATCTAACGGGTTTATTTTTTTTCATCTTCTGGGGATGTTTGAGGAAAGCAAGTCTTTCGCAAGTTGATTCTTTTTATTCTTTCATATTATATAACAATCAGAGTTATTTACATACCCTATGAATCATATGGCTAAATTACACATAATAATAATAATAATGTATAAATAATCGACTTAATCAATAAAAAATAAATTAATTTATGATTGACTAGAGTATGAAAACGAACGAATACGTTAACTCGGAGTATCTTCTAAGAGCAAATTTTCAAAAATCAACAATTTTTATAA